AACAAGTGCATCGCTTCTAGTAACAAGTGCCTTACTAGTAGTAACAAGAAGCTAGTAGAAACACAAAACACCTGTGGCTTCGGAACCTTCAAAAGATGCAAAACATGGGGCATCGGAAACATGTCAGAAGCCGCTTTTGGGCATCTTCAGACCACTTTTGGAGAGTGTGACACGCTGTTGAGTACAGTGGAGCTGTGAATGAAGGAGAGTGGAAACACAACACATATGGAATGCACAAAACCTCTCTATTTGATTGTAAACATATTTTGGTGGGGGTTCTTATCCTGGAACATAGGAATCAAGTCCTGACTTTCGCAGACCCCACACAACTCGGGTACGTAGACCCCAGAGCATCGCACCATGATTTCGTTGACCACGGGGGGGGTGCTTCGTAACGGCTGCTATAGAGGTTTGATATGCCCGGAGAGGTCCTATAGGCTCCTTGCCCATATCCTCAGGTGGTGTCACGACCCCCCTGGCACCCACCCCTGGCCCAGCTCGTTTTCCCGGAGGGGGCGGCCAGGAGCCCAAGGGATGGTTTGATGGGCATTGCAAGGGAGCTCGCCTGTCCAGCTCAGCTTCCTCAGGTTTCACTTCGCTGCAGTCCTACGTGGAGCCTGAGCTGCTTCGAGGTGCGACCATCGACCGGGAACCTCCCATCCCTTCTGACGAGCAGTCGACTTGGAGATGACCCGGAGCGGGTGTTCCAACCCCCCAAAACATCCAAAAAGGCATTCCGAGTTCGAAGGGATCGTCTGAAAATGCCGCTTCATCACTGGCCGCCCCAAAGTTCAATTGCCCACGAGAAGGAGTTAAGATGGGAGCGTTGGTAGGACGAAACCACAGATTGGGGGCAGGGCATGTTGTTTCTATAGCGCCCAAAGACAGACTGCTGGGCCGATTTAGATGGAGACGTAGTCGATGAATTTCAATCTGCAGTTTATGGATTTTTATGGTCAATAGTAAACTGCGGTTCATTCCTGTGTTACGGTTTAGTGGTGGGTAGACACATCCAAAATATATCAATAGTTGTTTCTTTTGTTAGAAAACAACACGTCAATGAGCTATATCCGCGTGGATTCTCCTGCGGGTCGCTGTCGCGTTCGACGGGTCGGGTGCGAACGCTTTCTCGGGGTGCCTTCTTCAAAGCTGTGAGGAGTGCCACTCCACATATGTTTGAGTGGCTGGGCTAAGCACTGGAAGCAGAATGAGGATGCCGCGTTTAGCCGCTCGGAATGGCGAAGTCGACTGCTGGGTCGGGGCCGTCTCCTGGGGAGAAGGCTGCTTGTCCGGGAACAGACGACCAAGGCATCGAAGGGGAGGGCGCTTGGCATCTCCTGGGAAGATGTCTTGTAAGACTCTAAGACACTCAAAAATGCTACAAAAACATGCAAATAACTTGTCAACTTCAGGAAAGTGAGTCCCTGTGGAGCTGTGGAGGCTCCAAAAGGGACTCATTTTCGGAGTGACTTTGGTGATGGTGATATCTTGGATCTGTCCGAACTTACTTGTAACAGTCAGTAAACAAGCAAATCACTATTTTTGAACAAGGCCTGCAACCTAACCATCCTCATCCACTGAAGCCTGGAAATAGGATAGACCCAAGTGATATCGCATCCTTTCGCACCTTTCGCCTCGTCCGCCTCGAACGAAATGCCCTCCTCAGTTCGTTCGGATGCGGGGGGGAAGTGTCGGCCAGGAGGTTTCCGCGGAAAAGTTTGTGCAGAACTAATACATCACACGTTATATACTATACTTGTCCCTCTTGATAGCGTGGGCTAATCGAGGGAGTTTCTTTATTTGCGTATTTTCCCTCTCTTTGTGTATATATATATATATAGCACAATGATGCACTTTGTTTTGAATAAGGCAGGATAATAGTGGACCTCCTCATGTCTTCTTAGCGGCAGCAATTGAATGCCATTCTGGATGGCAGATGGTCTCTTCCTTTTCATCGAAGGCATGGTGAATTGATTATGTGTTTGGGTCACTTGAAACTTTAACAAGGCTGGCTGTTAATTGAATACCAATCACATGCCCCAACAACCAAACTCATGTAGGAAACAATTGTACTTGTGCAAACACTGCTACGTACTGTACGACTATACACTTCATATCACTCTTGCTTTACCTTTCGCAGAAAAAACAGCTTTGCCTGTTGAGCCACCATGCAGCACCTTTCAGCGATAGTGGCAGGAGATGGGGGGTCACTTGCAAAGGCCTTCCAGGTCTTCATAGCATAATTTCAGTTTCTTCCACTGAAACTGGTGGTTCCCTGGTTTCAAATCCACTTAACCATCAGACACCCGGGTTTTCACTTCCCTCTTTGGTGAGATCATCTCGGTCCAGGGTTCCAACATGTTGTCCATGTCGCTGATTTGGTGTAGGATGTTTGAACAGTGCATCTATTGATTCCCCCCTTGTTTTGATAGGACAATATTTTTACAGCTGGTTGGTAGTCCAAAGGAGGGGGTTATTTGCTTTTAGGATACAAATATATACATGTCGAGATTCGAGATCCAACAAACATGTAGGTCTGGACATAGTCTTTGCTTCTCTTATCACGGCTTCCGATCCGTCTATGTTCCGCGCTTGGTTGCCTCAGGTATTGCCGCTGCCAATTATGATTTGGGATGCCAGACGCTTGGGAGCAGTATTTTCAGCGCTTTCGCTTGGATGCATCGCTATGACGTCGCATGACGAGGCTCTTTCGCTGTGATTCCCGTCCAAAGCAGTTTCTTAGGTCACGAAGTACAATGTAACAGAATCCTGCGAACAGGAAGAGGTTTGTTTGCCAAGCGATTGTGTCTTAGTGGCTAATTGCTTGTTCGTCAATTCAGATACACAAGAAATCCACTCAGAAATCCACTGAATGACCTCTTTGAACCCCCCCCCTAAAGTGGCTTAAATCTTTGTGCCCTGTGGCCAAGCACCTGGTGGGCAGTAGCTGACTCTGGGCTGTTTGCTTTCCTGAGAAACAGCTGAGGATTGAAGAGTATGACGTCTTTCTCAGCCATGATTGGGCTACGTCGCGCTGGCTCAAGCCCCTTGGCGCCCCCCCAAGAAAGCTTTGTGCCTTCTGATGGGTCACCAACCTCCTGGCAAGGATTGGGGAGGTGAAATCCAGTGCAGAGAAGAGTCCTATGGCATGTCTTTTGAACTTTTGGATGGACCAATAAACGAACACATATGAACTCTGTAATCCAGACTCTCAACGTGAGCATAAAGCAGTTGTCCGTAACTGCGGCTGAGGCTCTTTTCACTGATGATCATTTTCAACTCGAGAGCAGCCTTCGTGGGCAGCTTCACAGCGCCACAGTTGAACAAGAGTGTGTCGAAGAATGTGTCTTTCGACATGGCAGTGGGTCAACACTTGGGTCAACAGCTCACCTTTCAAACAATGGAAGAGTCCCCCTGTTTTGACCCACTGCCACATGTGTTAGCTGAACTCTGAAAAAGCCAATGGCTGTGGTTCGCACCATGAGACCAAACCGTTCGGCCGTGTCGTTGTTTGGGTCGGCCATGGCCGAATTCCGGTCCGGACCCACCGGAAGCGTCCGGAACCGGAACCGGACCGTGGAAGGCCAGTGTGGCGTTGGGCCTCTTGCGATCCTTCGAGATCGTGCCCAACGACATGTGGACCATTGGCATCGGGTCGCTCGGGCGGCCAAACGTCTGGTCGGTGGTCGAAACGGTGGGTTGGTCATCTGAGTGAAATCAGACAGGTGAGTGATTTGTTCATATCAGGCGTTGGACAAGTGACAAGAGCATTTGAGGTTGATCGAGGCTTTGTGCTGGAGCTATCAAGACTTGACTAATTAAGGTCAAAGTGGATGAGACAGGTTTGGAACCAGCGAATTGGCGAGTGTTCCACCTTGGCTCAACTGATTCCCTACAAGTCCAAAGATGCACTAAACCTGGTCTTTTTAAGTATTGTTTTTTCTAAGTAGTGTTTTTAAATGAGGTCATTGACCTGTAGGGATTGTAGTCATGATCACCTCAACACCTCTGTGTCGGCTCAACGGTCCCATGACCCACAGTGACCCGTCACTATATTACAATATTGTTATATAGTATATATATGATAGGTATCGGACAATGTATCGATCTCAGGTACTTGGTCTATTTGCTGTTCCTTTGCTTTTGGCAGCGTATTCGAAGACTGATCTGCTGCAGACCACTCATGGTTTTTGTCGACAAGCTGTGCATAGCACAGCACGACGAGCAGTTGAAGGACTCTCGGGTAGTGTGTTGGGTAAGCTAATAGCGATGGCCTCCAACCTAGAAGCGGACCGACTTCAGGGGATAATCCGGTAGTCATGTGCAGCACATGGGCTCTGAAAGTGGTGACTGATGACGACGGTGATGGAGGCCCGACATATAAATCCGGCTTAAGCATTTGTAGAGAGCGAGACAGAGAGAGAGAGAGAGAGAGAGAGGGAGAGAGAGAGAGAGAGAGAAGAGACAGAGAGAGACAGAGACAAAAAACATGTATTTTGACCACCAGCCACCCGAAACATGGTGTTTTTTTTTCTTTTTTATGTTTGTTTGTTTTCTCTGTCAAAACAGAGGTCAAATGGATTTGATTACACATTTGGATGATATTTCCACATTTCCCCTGCCCGATGCCCCTTATATATAGTATTGAATATCGATGTCATTTCCATGTGTTTGGATAGACTCTAAACACACAAGCTTCTTCATAGGGACCTTGTTGGAATTCCCAAGTGACCTTTGACAGGCCCAAGTGACCTCAAACCACAAAAAAAAGAACGGTCACGTTACATGCCTATATGCATACAGTTCTAGAACTTCAGAAAGCACCTATGATCGAGTCATTTGGGTTTGTCCATATTGGGCTCTTGAAAGAACGAGCCGCGCAGAATTCACGAGTCAACGGGGAATCGATGGAGTTGGCCTCCACGCCAGAGAACATGGCTGGACATCACAGACTTTGTTTCCCTGATCATGTGCATAGCACCAGGAATGTGTGACATAGCACCTGAACCTCAAACACAGTGAGCTTTCAGGATCCGAACCCCCCCGGACATGTGGACGACCATTGAGTGTCGAGTGTCCAAGGATCGCTGCTCATCCCTAACATGCCCTGCTGCAATGTGTTGCAAGTTTCAGTCGAACATTTGGCAGATCTTGGCACCCATAGCCATAGCCCACCTCACTCTTCATACAGCCACCCCCCCCCAAAAAAAAAGAACCGAACGCAGGAACGCAGGCATGCACGCCCTATCGCCGAACTCGTCCCTTTCCTCGGCGACAGGAAAAGGGGATCTTGGCCCTGGCGGGCTTTCTGGACCATTCCAGAAAGCTCACGGTGCTGTGGTCCACTCGCTACTTTCAGACGCATGGCATTCGGAAGTATCACGAAGGGGAGAAGAGCGGGACGAAGTGGACCGGGGGTTCGTGCAACACGTGGCACGGTGACACGGCTTTTGATGGTGGGCAGGAGTGGTGGAGGTGGAGGAATTCTTCGTGTTTACTTGATTGCCCAATGGCGGGGGCACGGCACCTTGGCAGGTGTGCTTCTCGACCAACGGGACACCTCTTCAGATCACCTGACCCCCGCAACACCATGTTGTAGGCCAATGTTCTAATGTGCAAAGCTTCACCTGTTTATTCACTGCCTTTGCGTGATCCCCACCCTGAGAGGCGATTTGGACAAAAAGGCGCGGATGATCCTGACAAACACTGTCTGACTGGTTCATGGATATAATTTTCTGGCAGCAGTTCTGGTATTTGTTCAATTTGTTCTGCCACGGCATTTAGCATAAAGGCTGCAAAATGTTCTGGAATGTGTTCTAAAATCCCTTCTGGACATGTGCTCTCGCATCAAACCTGGCATGTGTTCTGCATGTGGTGCCACGTGTGGTTTGGCTTTTGTCTTGGTTTGTGTTCTGAAATTTGTTCTCGATATTTGTTGTGATATTTGTGATTGGCATGTATTCTGACAATTTGTTGTCTCATGTGTGCTGGCATCCAGTATGGCATTTCTTCCGGCAGAAGTCCAGCGAGAAGCCAAAGGAAATGCGTAAGGTCTGTAAGGAGAACGAGGAGGAAGAGGAGGATGGAATGTACGCCTTTTATTGCCCGCCCAAACTCTGAATGGATCGAATCTGAAGGACCGGCAGCACACCAATCCCCGATCATCTCAGGAGGCTTTGGTGTGCTTATGAGTTGGCAGCTTTCTCTCGCGCAGAAGAAAAGCCGCTGCAGGTCATGCCTGCAACCTGGCGGGACTCCGGCGAACGGACGCGGACAGCTGGCTGTTCCGTTCCCCCCCCCACACAACAGGTGAGAATAGTATGTAGACTTCCACCCACAAGCCATGGAAGTGGACCATAAAAAGCCTGGGAAGACCATGAAGTCCTCTACGAACACAGTGGTGGTGGTGGTGGTGGTGGTGGTGGTGGTGGTGGTGGTGGTGGT